TTGCTGTTACAGGATGTACATTATTGCTGTTACAGATGTACATTATTGCTGTTACAAGATGTACATTATTGCTGTTACAGGATGTACATTATTGCTGTTACAGGATGTACATTATTGCTGTTACAGGATGTACATTTATTGCTGTTACAGGATGACATTATTGCTGTTACAGGATGTACATTATTGCTGTTACAGGATGTACATTATTGCTGTTACAGGATGTACATTATTGCTGTTACAGGATGTACATTATTGCTGTTACAGGATGTACATTATTGCTGTTATAGGATGTACATTATTGCTGTTATAGGATGTACATTATTGCTGTTACAGGATGTACATTATTGCTGTTACAAGATGTACATTATTCCTGTTACAGGATGTACATTATTGCTGTTATAGGATGTACATTATTGCTGTTACAGGATGTACATTATTGCTGTTACAGGATGTACATTATTGCTGTTACAGGATGTACATTATTGTTGTTACAGGATGTACATTATTGCTGTTACAGGATGTACATTATTGCTGTTACAGGATGTACATTATTGCCGTTACAGGATGTACATTATTGCTGTTACAGGATGTACATTATTGCTGTTACAGGATGTACATTATTGCTGTTACAGGATGTACATTATTGCTGTTACAGGATGTACATTATTGCTGTTACAGGATGTACATTATTGCTGTTACAGGATGTACATTATTGCTGTTACATGATGTACATTATTGCTGTTACAGTTTGTACATTATTGCTGTTACAGGATGTACATTATTGCTGTTACAGGATGTACATTATTGCTGTTACAGGATGTACATTATTGCTGTTACAGGATGTACATTATTGCTGTTACAGGATGTACATTATTGTGTTATAGGATGTACATTATTGCTGTTACAGGATGTACATTATTGCTGTTATAGGATGTACATTATTGCTGTTACAGGATGTACATTATTGCTGTTACAGGATGTACATTATTGCTGTTACAGGATGTACATTATTGCTGTTACAGGATGTACATTATTGCTGTTACAGGATGTACATTATTGCTGTTACAGGATGTACATTATTGCTGTTACCAGGATGTACATTATTGCTGTTACAGGATGTACATTATTGCTGTTACAGGATGTACATTATTGCTGTTACAGGATGCACATTATTGCTGTTACAGGATGTACATTATTGCTGTTACAGGATGTACATTATTGCTGTTACAGGATGTACATTATTGCTGTTACAGGATGTACATTATTGCTGTTACAGGATGTACATTATTGCTGTTACAGGATGTACATTATTGCTGTTACAGGATGTACATTATTGCTGTTACAAGATGTACATTATTGCTGTTACAGGATGTACATTATTGCTGTTACAGGATGTACATTTATTGCTGTTACAGGATGTACATTATTGCTGTTAAGGATGTACATTATTGCTGTTACAGGATGTACATTATTGCTGTTACAGGATGTACATTATTGCTGTTACAGGATGTACATTATTGCTGTTACAGGATGTACATTATTGCTGTTACAGGATGTACATTATTGCTGTTACAGGATGTACATTATTGCTGTTACAGGATGTACATTATTGCTGTTATAGGATGTACATATTGCTGTTACAGGATGTACATTATGCTGTTACAGGATGTACATTATTGCTGTTACAGGATGTACATTATTGCTGTTACAGGATGTACATTATTGCTGTTACAGGATGTACATTATTGCTGTTACAGGATGTACATTTATTGCTGTTACAGGATGTACATTATTGCTGTTACAGGATGTACATTATTGCTGTTACAAGATGTACATTATTGCTGTTACAGGATGTACATTATTGCTGTTACAGGATGTACATTATTGCTGTTACAGGATGTACATTATTGCTGTTACAGGATGTACATTATTGCTGTTACAGGATGTACATTATTGCTGTTACAGGATGTACATTATTGCTGTTACAGGATGTACATTATTGCCGTTACAGGATGTACATTATTGCTGTTACAGGATGTACATTATTGCTGTTACAGGATGTACATTATTGCTGTTACAGGATGTACATTATTGCTGTTACAGGATGTACATTATTGCTGTTACAGGATGTACATTTATTGCTGTTACAGGATGTACATTATTGCTGTTACAGGATGTACATTATTGCTGTTACAGGATGTACATTATTGCTGTTACAGGATGTACATTATTGCTGTTATAGGATGTACATTATTGCTGTTACAGGATGTACATTATTGCTGTTACAGGATGTACATTATTGCTGTTACAGGATGTACATTATTGCTGTTACAGGATGTACTTATTGCTGTTACAGGATGTACATTATTGCTGTACAGGATGTACATTATTGCTGTTATAGGATGTACATTATTGCTGTTACAGGATGTACATTATTGCTGTTACAGGATGTACATTATTGCTGTTACAGGATGTACATTATTGCTGTTACAGGATGTACATTATTGCTGTTACAGGATGTACATTATTGCTGTTACAGGATGTACATTATTGCTGTTACAGGATGTACATTATTGCTGTTACAGGATGTACATTATTGCTGTTACAGGATGTACATTATTGCTGTTACAGGATGTACATTATTGCTGTTACAGGATGTACATTATTGCTGTTATAGGATGTACATTATTGCTGTTATAGGATGTACATTATTGCTGTTACAGGATGTACATTATTGCTGTTATAGGATGTACATTATTGCTGTTATAGGATGTACATTATTGCTGTTACAGGATGTACATTATTGCTGTTACAGGATGTGCATTATTGCTGTTACAGGATGTACATTATTGTTGTTACAGGATGTACATTATTGCTGTTACAGGATGTACATTATTGCTGTTATAGGATGTACATTATTGCTGTTATAGGATGTACATTATTGCTGTTACAGGATGTACATTATTGCTGTTACAGGATGTGCATTATTGCTGTTACAGGATGTACATTATTGTTGTTACAGGATGTACATTATTGCTGTTACAGGATGTACATTAATTTTAGGTGAAAGAAAACAAATATCTATATTTTCACTATTGATAATTTATTGCTAAAGTCAACAGGTAATTAACACAGAAAAAGGCAAAAATGGTGAAAAAATTATCCGAGAATTTCACCGATGAGGATTGTTGCATGATGGACTGTTTGTCGATAGTCATGATTGGAACGAGGTGAACATAAGTACTGCGGTAGGCCTACTGGCCTATGCTCGCAGTAGCAGCACTGGCTTCTTTTTGTCAAGTGATGGTGGAGGCTTATCGTTTTGACGAGGATTCATAATGAGTAGGATCCTCACTAATATTTCAGGGATCACGAAGCTACTTTTCTGTGTAATTTTCTCTGAAATGCAAATTGATGCTTCAACGTATTTTCACCAGCGAATGTTTGGTACTTTAATAACTAAACGTTACTGAATTTCATCAAAGGGTTGGTGCCACTCCAGTAATATACTCATGTATTTTTTCAAGTTCCCTGTTTTGCAAGCACATGTGTGCTCGTTCATACGTATTTCTTGTGTATGTGTTGTTTCTCAGTGTACACCTTGTCATGGCCTCCGAGAATGATTGTGCCATTTCTTTCATTAACTGGTTCAAAGGTCTCCGTCTTGGTTATAGAGAGACCTCTGAGGGTTGTGCTGGCTGATATGGCGAATCTATTGCAGCCTTGTGCAGGTACTTTCAAGATATTTAAGGTTTCGAATTGGTGTCCGAAGTGGTTTTAGCTTAAGGAGAATTGATGATTTGATAGCAGGAAAACGTAGCTCGGAGACGATTTGTTTTATGTATGAGTATTGCAAATCTAGAGTATCTAGGCTGCAAATTAGGTAAGATGTTAGGAAAAATCCAGTTATGGTATTTCGTTTTAGTCTTAGTATCTTGGCTTGAGTAAAAGTTTGTAAGATTATTTTGACTTATAGGTTCTTTGTAGACTTTGAATTTCAGGAGTTCGTTACTTCGTCGATGAAGACGTCGAGGAATAGTAACCTGTCATTGATCTCTTCTTTAGGTGCTGAGTCTTATCTGTAGGCTCTGCGCACCTAAAATTTGGGAGTAATTACAAGGCCGTCGTCCACGTATCGTTCTGTGATGCTGATGGGGATGTCGTTGGGAAAGAGTCCGGTTGCTAGATGCTCCATGTACAAGTTTGTTACGACAGCGCTGATAGTGAGGCCCATATCCACGCCATATGCTTGTTCATAGAGCCTGTTGTTGAAAGAGAAATCGTTAAAATTAATGTCGAGTTTAATCAGCTTGACAAAACCTTCGGGCGGTGGAGGTAGATTAAGGTTCTGATTAACCTTTTCCTGAGTTAATGGCTTGTTGTGATGGATATTTTTGTGTTGAAAGAAGCATCATCTAAACTACTTATTTTCTTCTTCTGGGGAGAGAGATCTCGGTATGATTAAGATTACATGAGTGTTTTAGAGTGGCTGGTCGTATGAATCTTAGAAGGCAGGAAGCGTGTTTGGTTGAGAACTCCAGCTAACTGTGTAGTGCACCATCTATACCTGACGTGTACTAAAAAGGCAAATGGCTTTTGACAAATGGAACATTTCGATCCTTGTTCCTTCGATGAAAGGACATTTTATCTAACGTATTGTCGGCAATTCTAACAATATTTCTGCAAGACAGATCGAACCTGATCTAGACTAGATAAACCTGCTTCGCAGGCAAAACCTTGTCTAAGTTCTCAATTGATAATTGTATATATTAGTTTTTGCTGGCCTATTCAGACATCCACCTAAGGTGTTATACCTTAGTGATTAATTAGGTTGTGGTGTGACCATAGGCCTATCTTTCCACTGTGCTCTTAAAATTTACAACTGGTATCTATGATGCCAATTAGACCAAGAAAGTAGCATATACTCACATATTTTAACTGATTCTATATTATTAGATATAAATATAGTTCTTTATAATGATAAATACGCCATAGATCAGTTAGGGTGAGCACAAACGATAATATATTTGCCAAACAAACTTTGCTATCCAGATGGGAAGGAAAATGTCTTCATCAACACTGGAGAAAGCAGAAACACTCACATGTTTCTCAGTAGCCAATTTTCTTGATTTCCAGATAAACTCACAAACGGCGACTACGGAGGCGAGACCCATACCAGTGAGGAGCACCACGAAGACGCCTCCAACGTTGTTGAGACCAAGTTCGTTGGCTTTGGACGAGCTCTTAGACTCGTCATCCTGGGACAGTGAGAACACTTCGTCAAAACGACGTCAAGAACAAAGAAGCCTTAGCAGGGCGATCATGAAAATCAACTCGTTATTAAACCTAATTCAGTAGTGATGAATGGTTGTGAAAACCGACAAGATGAAGAATTGAGACACTTATGCAACATATGGGAATATTTATTCAAGAAACGTTTCACCACACAGTGGCTTTATCAGTCCAATACAAAGCAGAAATGGGTAAGGAGAGGAGGAGTTTGAGGTAATCAGTCCCTCAGCTTGGAATCGATGTGTTCAGTCCATCACTCTCCTTACCCATTTCTAATTTGCATTGGACTGATGAAGTCACTGTGTGGCGAAACGTTTCTTCAATAAAGATTCCCATATGTTGCATAAGTGTCTTAATTCAGTAGTGACGGACGTCAAAATTAACCTAACTGCATCAGGAGGAAAATCAAAATGAATCACATTCCTGGAGACACACTGGTACACCAGTGTTGACATTTTTAATTTAATCAGAGAAATGTTTGTCCATTTACTAAAGGGAAAACAAATCTGGGAGTGACTTGTGTAGCACTCTGCATAACACACTAAAATTATCTCATAAATTTTGTTATGGAACACAATATACAAGGGTTAAAAATTTGAACCCGATCGAACAAGGCATTCTCGAGTAATAAATGAAAATTTATGAATAAAAAATTGCTGCGAATGTTCCAAAAAAAAATATATATATATAGGAGTGCCCTTAATTAAAATTAAAACACCATATAATCGCGGATTTTCATATTTTCCAACTTACTTTTCTAACTGGAATTAATTCTATTTAAATTTCTCTACTGCTATGTAAAAAAATATTTATTAATTTTTGAAAATTAGTAAAACAGGAATAAAAATTTGACAAATTGGCTTCCACACATCTGAAATTTAACACACAAGAACTTTCTACTAAGATTTACCAGAATTTCAATATTGAAGTTCACCTGAAAAAATGTTGTCTAGTTATTACATGAGAATCAATTTGCTTAATAAAACTGACAAACTGAGTCACAAGTTGTTTTAATAAAACCCACCAAAACGAAAAGTTTAAAGCCGATCAGAAAAAACATTCTCCAGTAACTGATCTAATTCTAACGTTACCAAGTTTTTTTTTAACTATTTCAGTAAAATTCCCAATTTCCACCCAAACAGAATAAACTTATGAGGCATCATTATCATCCTTATATACTGCATCAACAATAATAATTTGAAGCCAATTATAAGACGTATTCTTTAGTTACTTAACAAAGAGTAAATATCAGTATTTATTCAATGGAATTAGTAAATTGGAACTTACACCAGCTGCAATATGAACTTTTTATTCAGGAAAAAATTCAAATTTTGAGAATTTCAAGGTCAATACTTGAGTCATTCACTGACAGATTATTACGACATAATCTGGGTTCAAAGACTGTATGACTTAGACGAAGGTAAGAATAGATTTTTGGCTTAAGCTTCTGAACTGTGGGGAAGGTTCTCAGTTAGGTTACAGTTGGTGCGTCCAACGGAAACATGTACAGAACTGTTAGCGATCCTTCCCTATCAGAAGTTCTGTAGCCTAGGTGGTAGAGTGCTCAGCCTGTCAGTTTATACACCACAGTTCGTGCCTCCCATCCAGGGCCGGATTTATAAGGGGACAGAGGAGGGAAAATGCCCCGGATCCCCCTGCCAGAGTGCCCCTACCCCAATGAAGGACTTCCTTTATAACAAAATGTAATAGTGAAAAATTAGTTTAATTAATAAAAAGGAATTACAAATAGTGTGGGGGGGGGATCAGAAATTAGAAAGAAAGGGTACCCCCACCCCCTCTGCCTTTGAATAACTTGACTTAACTAATTCAGGTTAGCGTGAGTTTAGAGGTAAATGACCAGACCATGAGGTCAGAGGTGACCAGGTTGTGCATGCGTGTGTGTGTGTGTGTGTGCATGTGTATCTGTGTCTGTGTATGCAAGGTAGCTATTGTATGTATGGCTTTGATTGGCTATGTCGACCTCAGAAGGACCATTTCTGGTTAGTCTCATTGTAGAGGTCAATAACCAAGGAGTCAATTAGTGCTATGCAATGGTGTGGGGCAGTGGTGTCAGTGTTTTACACGTGTGTTGTTCACTGATGCTTGCGATATATCATCGTTATACCAACACTCTCATATGGGTGTGAAACATAGGTGGTGAATGTTGCAACGAGAAGAAGGCTGGAGGCAGTGGAGATGTCTTATCTGAGGATAATGTGTGGTGTGAATACAATGCAAAGAATTCGTAGTTTGGAAATTTGAAGGAGGTGCGGGATTACCAAAATTATTATCCAGAGGGCTGAGGAGGGGTTGTTGAGGTGGTTCAGACATGTAGAGAGGAAGAAACAAACTAGAATGGCTTTGAAAGTGTATAAATCTGTAGCGAAAGGAAGGCAGGGTAGGGGTCAGCTTAGGAAAGGTTGGAGGGAGGGAGCAAAGGAGGTTTTGTGTGCGAGGGGCTTGGTGTTCTAGGAAGCATACGTGAGGGTATTTGATAGGAGTGAATGGAGGCAAATAGTTTTCAATACTTGACGTGCTGTTGGAATGTGAGCAAAGTAACATTTATGAAGGGAGTCAAGGAGACTGGCAGGCCGGACTTGAGTCCTGGAGATGGGAAGTACAGTGTCTGCACTCTGAAGGAGGGGTGTTAATGTTGCAGTTTTATAACTGTTGTGTAAGCACCCCTCTGGCAAGACAGTGATGCAGTGAATGATGATGAAAGTTTTTCTTTTTTGGGCCACCCTGCCTTGGTGGGAGACGGCCTATGTGTTAATATAAATAATAAAAAAACTATAAATACTGTTGAAGACTGAGACACTTTTGCAACATATGGGAGTCTTCACTGAAGAAAGGTTTCACCACACAGCAGGTTCATCAGTCCAATACAAAGCAGGAAGGTGTAAGGAGAGAAGGAGTTTGCGGTAATCAGTCCCTCAGCCTGGAATCGATGTGTTCAGTTGGCTAGTGCAGGTGTCCGTTATAGAAGTATTTTGCTTTATAAGCTGTTACATATACTGTAGCTTGATATATATAGTTCTTGTAATTATTTAAAGTTTCATTATCCCATAGTCTTTCCTCCTGGTACACTTAAATAGTTCTCCTGGTAGGATGGCTAGGTAAAAGTCTACTAAAAAATTACATTTAATTGCCGGTATATATATTGCAGTTTATTATATATAGTTTTATAAATTATTTATTGTTTCAGTATCCCATAACAATCTTTCATCCTGGTACACTTAAACATTTCTCCTGGTAGACTGGCTAGTGTAAAGATCTGTCATAGTTTGTGTAATAATTTGTTGCTGTTATAAAGGCAAAGAGGAAGCCTGTGTAAGAGGTGGGCTGTCAGTAAGGAAGATGAAGTAAGGGCTTTAGAGCAGTGATGATGTCGGAGGTAAATTCTTCGTGCCTGCTGGTAGACACGACAGTCTTATAGAATATGGTAAAAACTGGAATCTGTCAATTCTCAGAGTGGTACTGGGCGCCTCTCCATGAGGTACCCGTGAGTGAGACACAAGTGTCCGATATGAAGACGGGAAAGTATAGTCTCCCAACCATGACATCAGCACGAAGACTAGAATCCTAAACAAGGCTTGATTGAATATTATTTGTTATGAATCAACTCAGACCAACATCTGAGGATTTAGAGCCATCTGTAAACTATAACGGCACGAGAATGAGACCTGAAGTGGTTAAGAAAAAGGGAGCAATTAGCAGCTGTCGGTATTTGAGCTTTCGAGCATAGCAGTGGGGAAGAACAGATTCGAACTCTCGGAACCTCCCGTGGGAAAAGGAGAGTAAGGTACTAGATGAACATAAAAAGGGGGCAATTGAAGAGTAGTCAAGTGAGAGTGAATACGAAGAAAAAATGAACAGAGTAAACAAGGGGTGGCTATCAAATAATGTATCTTTACTAACGTCCGTTTCCATCCTGTATGTAGAAAGATTGTGCATTGGGCAGATCGTTCAAAGATGGAACATTCGCCTTTGCATACAGGCTCTCGACAAGGGAAGAACAATCGTATTCCATGATGAATGGGATCAACTTTAGAAAGAGTTCCGGGAGAGGTCGCAGAATATATATGGTCGCCATAATCTAGTTTCGATAAAATTAGGGCTGAATGAAATCGAAGGAGAGTTCCACGATCTGCCCCCCATGAAAGATGAGCGAGGGTTTTATGAAGGTTCAACCGGCTATGGCAAGCTGCTTTCAGGGAGGTAATGCGAGGTTTCCAGGACAGCCGGAGAAGAGAAGACCGAGAAATTTGACCGCATCACGTTCAGCGATCTGGGAACCATACAGGTATAATGGAAAAGTAATCCGGTTCGATTTAGTACCAGAACATTTAAACCCATGAGTAGTGGCACAATTGGAAACACGGTCGACAGCATTCTGGACAGATGTTGCAACTATGTGACAGCACCTGCACACATTATAGCAAAGTCATCAACATAAAGTGATGACCAAGTATTAGATGGACGAACAGAGGCCAAATTATTAATAGTAAAAAATAATAATGGTGATAAGGAGACATCTATGAGGAACAGCTTCAGCATGTATAAAGTCAAGGGAAAGTAAGTTATCAACCCAGACACGAAAATGTCTCAGACAAGAAGCTTTTAAGAAAAAATCAGCAGAATGCCTCGAAGACCTAAGGAATGAGCTCTGACCAAGATGTTATATCTCCAAGTTGTCTCAAATGCTTCTTCAAGGTCAAGAAAGACTGTAATAGCCGAGTGGTTACTACCGAAGGCATTACGAACATAGGTATCTAAACAGAGTAAGGGTTCAATCGCGGAGCAGCTCTTACGAAATAAACTGACGAGTAGAAAGAGTATTATGTGTTTAAATACCACGATGAACATCTGTTTACTAGACGTTCCATCAACTTGCAAAGTGCACTAGTAAAAACAATGGGTCGATACCGGGAGGCATCATGGCCTGAAGTACCCGGTTAGAGAAAAGGCAGAACAACGGCAGTTTTCCATGGAGGAGGAAGAGCCCCAAGCGACCAAACCAGATTGAAAAGACGTAAGAGGACTACAAAGGATGAAGGGTGTTAATGCTGGAGCATACTGATATGAGCAGCATCAGGTCAGGTTACCGACGATCGGCAAACGGAAAGAGTTGATTCAAGTTCTAGAATCATAAAAGGAACGTTATAAGACTTCTCTAGTAGAAGAAAAGTCTAAAGCCAGCAACTCTGGCAGACTTTTAAGAAAGAAAGGAGGGAAATAAATGGAGCCCCATGATAAATATGGACAAGATGATTTCTAATTCTGAGGCAACCTCAACGGGATTTGCAATGTTGACAGCAGCAACAGGAGAAGGGCTGGAGAGTACGTGCCAGTCATTTTCCGAGCATTTTTTCCCAAACTTCACTCTTAATAATTGTTAAAAGAAGAGGAAGTAACGGTAGAAGCATAATGAAGCCAGCAAATGCGTTTTGCTTCACGGATTACACATCGGGAAACCTGCCTCGCAAAGAGCTACTCTGTGGTCCTATTGTAACGAAATCAGCCCTACGTAGCAAGTTGCAATCGCACTGCATGAGCGCAAGTAGGAGACCACCAAGTCAAGCATTTCTGACAGTTCCTACTCAAGGTTAGAAAGATTGTATGCAAAACCGCGGTAAAACCGAAGTCAAAATGAGTTGTAATAGCTCATTAGGAGAGGACAAATGAGAAAGTTCCTCACTAATAACAGCTTGACGCTAGTACATAGTCCAATTCACTCGTTCAAACTGCCAACGTGGGCAACAAGGAGAGTGAGAATATGAATGGGAAGTGAGAAGGACAAGAAAATGATCGCTGTCATGTAAATCTGGGAGCACAGACCAGGTAAAATCGAGTGCAGTTGAAGAGGAACAAATTGAGAGATCTATGCAAGAAAGACTTCGAGTCTGAGAGTCAAAATGGGTGGGAGTACCTGTATTTAAATCATGGATGAGAAGAACTACGAAAGCCACAGTGAGAGCCCCTCCGTGGAAAGGTTTCTTTCTTCTTCTTCTTTTTATCTTTTCCGAATAAAGGGTTACGTGAAGGGGGTAGCTCATAGGAGGAATGAAAGGGATCGTATATCCCCCTCTGTGCCCATGAGAGTCCTCAGTGCAACCGGTAGTGCAGATGCAGAGTGCAACCCATGTGATACCCTACCCTTCACACCAGTAAACCTAAAATCTAGGATAGCAGCCTCACATCCACCTCCCGGAACTGGCAGGCGGCCTCCTCTTTACTCGAAGATCACCATAAACAGCCCTGTGACACTCCGGAGGGTGAAACGGAGCATCCCCAGATGAACCAGATTCCACAGCAACCAGTACTTACGCCAAGTAGCCTCAACAGAATGTGACGGACAAGGAGGGATGGGAAAGGAGGAGGGATGGGAAAGGAGGAGGGATGGGAAGAATGTTGTAGGAAAGGGAGGAGCGGGGGGGGGGGGGGTTAGGTTCGATAGGAGGACGAAGACCAGATGGTCGAATTCCTCAAACCAAAAGCCTCTTCACTGCAACAAGGGGCGCCACTTGAAGAGATATCTGAGGAAAAACTGATAAAAATTGACATAATGAAACTCATGCGGTAATTTCTGAATGTTGCAACTGATTACCTTCACTCCTTCCATGATGAAAGATATGATATAGATTTGTTTTGTATATGTTCCAATTTACCATTTTTAATGAAGAAATTTGGAAATTAGTTTCCATACGATGACACATGAATGCCTCTTCTGATTCCCTTCAAATACTGAACTGAATTATCAACTTACGCCGCTCTCTGTACAACTGAAGTCACGTGCATTAAGACACAGGACACTGACGTTATGTATCTCACATCTTGCGGCCACCAAAATACATCTAGTAATTCTGATTTATTAACCAATTACCTGATATATAAAAGCTAATGCTGTTCCTTGAATGCTTTGCCTGTTTATTTTCTTACTTAATACTAGCTTCCTAACTTTACTAAGAATATTTGCCTCACAATTCTGTTAGTATTGTTATTTTAATCGGGTAAAAAAAATTAAAAGAAATCTTTAGGCTATAGATTTCGCGAGTCAGAAAAATATTAGAATTAGATAATGTAAGAAAAAGTAATTAAAGTGGTAGCGCGAGTTGTTAAAAATTACTCATTGTGTTTAATGGAGGAATGTAAGTTTTAGTTTGGTTTAACATTCTCAAGATAAGCGTTATTTTTTTTTATACCATTTGAACGGTGATTAAAATGAGTTAAGTCTAAAGAATATAGATGAGGTATGAACTCGGAACAGAGACTTATTATGGAGATAAAACGTATCATTTTCTTATCTTAAAATTCAATCAAGAGTTCAAAATTTAAGTAATATATTAATCACAATCTATACTCAAAACAAACGAAGGAAAAATTTGGAAGTAGATGTATAAGTATTTTTGCTAGAAATAGTGGTGAAACTTACTAGTGTTACCATAAATACAATAATAAAAGGGGTTCCTCTTACTTTACACTGTCCTCCTCCCTTTTCCTGCTTCCACCAGCGCGTCCTCAGGGCCTGGAGTTTACCTTCCTCTTGCAAGCTCAGTATTGCCCCCGTGATGGCATTCGTGAAGGGTGAACCTGTGTAAGGGATTTATGTATATAAAGAAACAACACGAGCGAAAGTCCAATATTACACGATATCAGTATGATTCCATGGATGCATTAATTTGTGTACTGCTCGTGAGACTGGTATCCAAACGGGTGGAGAGTGAAGTTAGTCCTGACTTGACCACTTCCCAAATGTGCCCGGCGTTAGGTGAAAAAACATCTAGTAACTTGGTGGCGTAGTGGTCTAGGGCGTCAACAGTTTAGCTAACTTCTCTGGAGGCTGACCCGACGTATCTCGTTCAAATCTCAACTGGTCACAGAATGTGCTTTCTTTAAAGCCGCTTTATATATATATATATATATATATATATATATATATATATATATATATATATATATATATATATATATATTATATATATATATATATATATATACAGTGGACCCTCGAATTTAGTCCTGCCTTTTCTGTATGCAAAACTATTGTTATTATCTATAAAATGTATATTTTGTTAATATTTCCCATGAGAAATAATGTATATCCAATTAAACCATTCCACACACCCAAAAATATTAACAAAAACACATTTTATAGAGAATAACGATAGTTTTACCATATCACGAGAGTAAGCAATGTTTGTAATGGAATTATGGGAACTTAGCAGTCGACCTTCCAACTTTAAGACTGAAGTTTTCTAGCAATGGTAACACTAAGTTTTCTAGCAATGGTAACACTAAGTTGTCTAGCAATGGTAACACTAAGTTGTCTAGCAATGGTAACACTAAGTTGTCTAGCAGTGGTAACACTAAGTTGTCTAGCAATGGTAACACTAAGTTGTCTAGCAATGGTAACACTAAGTTGTCTAGCAGTGGTAACACTAAGTTGTCTAGCAATGGTAACACTAAGTTGTCTAGCAGTGGTAACACTAAGTTGTCTAGCAATGGTAACACTAAGTTGTATAGCAATGGTAACACTAAGTTGTCTAGCAATGGTTACACTAAGTTGTCTAGCAGTGGTAACACTAAGTTGTCTAGCAATGGTAACACTAAGTTGTCTAGCAATGGTAACACTAAGTTGTCTAGCAGTGGTAACACTAAGTTGTCTAGCAGTGGTAACACTAAGTTGTCTAGCAATGGTAACACTAAGTTGTCTAGCAGTGGTAACACTAAGTTGTATAGCAATGGTAACACTAAGTTGTCTAGCAATGGTTACACTAAGTTGTCTAGCAATGGTAACACTAAGTTGTCTAGCAGTGGTAACACTAAGTTGTCTAGCAGTGGTAACACTAAGTTGTCTAGCAATGGTAACACTAAGTTGTCTAGCAGTGGTAACACTAAGTTGTCTAGCAATGGTAACACTAAGTTGTCTAGCAGTGGTAACACTAAGTTGTATAGCAATGGTAACACTAAGTTGTCTAGCAATGGTAACACTAAGTTGTCTAGCAGTGGTAACACTAAGTTGTCTAGCAATGGTAACACTAAGTTGTCTAGCAGTGGTAACACTAAGTTGTATAGCAATGGTAACACTAAGTTGTCTAGCAATGGTTACACTAAGTTGTCTAGCAATGGTAACACTAAGTTGTCTAGCAGTGGTAACACTAAGTTGTCTAGCAGTGGTAACACTAAGTTGTCTAGCAATGGTAACACTAAGTTGTCTAGCAGTGGTAACACTAAGTTGTCTAGCAATGGTAACACTAAGTTGTCTAGCAGTGGTAACACTAAGTTGTATAGCAATGGTAACACTAAGTTGTCTAGCAATGGTTACACTAAGTTGTCTAGCAATGGTAACACTAAGTTGTCTAGCAATGGTAACACTAAGTTGTCTAGCAATGGTAACACTAAGTTGTCTAGCAGTGGTAACACTAAGTTGTCTAGCAGTGGTAACACTAAGTTGTCTAGCAATGGTAACACTAAGTTGTCTAGCAATGGTAACACTAAGTTGTCCAGCAGTGGTAACAGTAAGTTGTCTAGCAATGGTAACACTAAGTTGTCCAGCAGTGGTAACACTAAGTTGTCTAGTAACTCTCAACGGGTGTGGTCATAACTACACATCCGTAGCAGCCTACGGATATACTTCCCCTACCACAAACTAGGGAAAATGGGGTCATTTACAATACCCAGGTAAGTCCTGCCATACCCACACCTAATTACGTTAGCTGCAGTTAATAGGTAAGGGTGAGATTTGACTGGAATTGCCAATAGCTCCCGCGATGTGCGGGTGATTCACCCACACTCAAGTATCACTACGCATTTCAGATGATAGTGAAATGCTGGATATATCATTATTGTTTTGTCTCTGCGCCGTCGTTCATTGAAAACTTAAAGACAATACAGTACAGTATCAGTAATGTACTGATACTGTACAGTCCATTCGTGTGTGTGTTCGAATGTCTGTTCCTATGTCCGAATGTTCGTAACTCGAATACTCGTAAGTAGGGTTGCGTCTGTACTTATCTAACCAGTTCTCCACAAATCCATTATTGGCACCTACCTGGAGGTAGCGCGATGCCGTAGCTCTTGGAGTCGAGTGGTCCCCCAACCTTAGTGAGGTCACAGTACCTCTCAGTGATATACTCTATACTGGAGGATTCCATCATGAACGCATACTGTCCATCACCCTTCTGAACCCTCTTCACGCCTTCTTCATTGGATTTCGTATAAACAGATGGAGTTTGAGACTCCATAAAACTAAACATTCGCTGGTAAGTTGGCATCTTGGAATTACTGGAAAGAAATGTTGTGCTAATGACCCATGCTAAGATGTGATGACCAAGCCTGAGTCAGGTTAACAGTTAATTTGTTAAGTTTAAATCCCATCCACGAAAGTGAGCCATTTGGGATGAAATTCATCGACTTACAATCAATAACACTCTTAATCCTATTATATAAACAGTTTATATACACACATGTCCATCTCTCAGTGCCTATAACTGCAAGAGAGAATTACATGATGAACATGTAGAGAGACTTATGTCTGAAGATTGAGACACTTATGAAACATATGGGAATCTTTATTAAGGAAATGTTTCGCCACACAGTGGCTTCATCAGTCCAATACAAAGCTGAAAAGTGAGGAGGAGTTTGAGGTAATCAGTCCCTCATCCTGGAATCGATGTGTTCAGTGAACAAATCGATTCCAAAGAATTCTTCGACCTTGTCCAACCTTTGGACCAAGATCTACTTCGACTAGTGGATGGTACCACTATGACCCCGCCTCCTCCTGCTTCACCTCACCTGACTACAGTATATAAGCCACGTCTACGGCCCTATGCTGTACATTCTACAAGATTGATGGACTGAACACATCGACTCCAGGCTGAGGGACTGATTACCTCAAACTCCTCCTCACCTTTCTGATTTGTATTGGACTGATGAAGCCACTGTGTGGCGAAACGTTTCCTGAATAAAGATTCCCATATATTTCATAAGTGTCTCAATCTTCAATTTGTCGGTTTTTTAAACCATTCATCACAGACTTATATTTGTGTGATCCAAGCGAGGCATCCTTCATTACACATAAGGGCCAAAGTAACTGTACTCCAAAACCTTAAAGAGGCACTGGAACTATAGCTCAACTCACTGAACAGAATCTCTTCATCAATGAATGTTGTCCAAAGTTGTTGTACTAAAATCCAGAACTGATGGGATGAGAAGTGTGAGGTAATCTGTCCCATTCATCTTATACCGACCGAGGAAGCCACTTGTTGGTGAAACGTCTCCACAATAACGATTCCGAAATGTTGCAAAAGTATCTAGTTCTTGAGTTCGTCGGTTTTCTAAACCATTTACATGTGTTAGACACAGCAACATTTTGCCTAACCTACAGTCATGACCTACTTAGACTAGTGGAATTTTACACTGGTGATTCTACCTCCTGCTGCTTCAATTTATCATGGTTGAAGGACTGACCTTCTCAAATTGCTTGTTCTTTAAAGCTGAGGGACTGATCACCTAATCAATATCTCTGTACTGTTTCTTCTGTTTACATTATTTACCTCTGTAGCCGACTGAACAAACCTGATGATCCGGCTAAGTGTTTCAACAATTAAGATAACCAACTTTCTAAACAGTTAGATTATAAAATAATTGAAACTACACATATAATTCAACAATATTTTACCTCTCATCAACACATAAGAATTTAAGAAAATTAACCAAGAGAGAGTTTTACGCGAAAAAATCCCAGGTGGAGCCGCCGTAGAGGGAGCCATATTTGATCCTGGTCTGTTTGGCCAGGTCCTCGGCCGACTCGATAGGCGACTCCATCCGTTCGACGGTGAGGAAGGCGGCCAAGTTGGCAGTGTACGAAGATATCATTATGAGAGTGAAGAACCACCAGATGCCGGCCACAACGCGGGTAGACACCGCCCTGAGTGAAGGTTAGAGACGGGAGTGGGAAGGACGAGGAATGCAAATGAAGGAATTACGGAAGTAATCAGTGTAATTTCACAAGATGCAAAAATAAAAAAGAAAAAAAAATTACAATGTTGGGAAAAAAAAAATAAAATGCATGAGGGGAAAGAACAAAGTGTAGTTAAAAGGGGAGTTTTCAAGTGAAAGATACACAGAGTTCCAGGCAAAAACAGTACGAAACGGATTTTTTGTCCAAGAAATTTGTAACAAAATAAAAAATTTGGGAAATCCAAAGATTTTAAAGGTATTGATGGAAAATTTTGATTTGAGGCGCCAGAAAATTACAAAAAAACATAAGCGATAATACGAAGTGACGGACAAAAAAATATAACGTAAATTTAAAAAAATGTAGAATATTGATAATGTAAATATATGCATAAAAAAATAAGAATTTATGAAACAATATAAAGGTTGGGGGGAAGTAAGATAAGGGTGAAGGCCCGTAAAAAGGGAAAGGGGCAAAAAAAAAAATGTTAAAATAATTGTTCATCTCTTTTCTTTTGCATAATGTTAATTACTCTCAGTTTTATTATACAGTATTGTTAATATAAAACATATGAAAATAAATTTAAAATTATTGTTTAATTTTATAGCATATGATACGTGGAGATTAACTTTCAGAGGTTAGAAAGTTAGTGATTTTTAAGCTAAGTTTTGCAATCTGGTCATGTTCAACATACAGCTATCATACGCATTTACAATTGGTACAATGTTTAACAAAAAGATTTTCATACGCATAAAATCTGGTCATTGTTCTAACAAAGCTATCTACAGACTACAACATGGTAAAATGTTCAACATACGCTATCTACGCCTAAAATTATGGTACAAGTTCTAACATACAGATATCATACAGCATAAAATCATGGTACTTGTTTAACATACAGCTATCTAAGCATACAATATGGTACAATGTTCTAACAACAGTTCATACAGCATACAATATGGTAAAATGTTCTAACATACAGATTAATACGGCATTACAATAGGGAAAAATTGTTCTAACATACAGCTATATACAGCATACAATCTGGTACAATGTTTTCATACAGTATCATACAGCACTACAATCTGGAACATTGTTCAAAATCAGTTCTAAGCACTAAAATCATGGACAATTTTCAACTTACGATTCATACAGCCAAAATCTGGAACATTGTTTAACATAAAGCTATTACAGCACTACAATCGGGTAAAATGTTCAAACATAAGATATTACGCACTACAATCATGGAACTGTTCAAACATACAGAATATAAGCACTACAATCATGGTAAAATGTTTAACATACAGATATCATACGCAATACAATCATAAAAAAATTTAAAATTTGAAACAACCCCAAACTCTAAGAAAACCCCTTTTAAAAAACGTTATAAAACAAAGAGAGAAGGGAAAACACTGAGGAGGCCTACTAGCCCGTGCGAGGCAGGTCCATGTCCCCCCCCCTTCGGCTTAGCCCAAGACTCCCCTATCAGTAACTTCCATTTAAGAGGGAAAAGCACGGCACCGACCCAGGAGCAAAAGCTAGTCAGGTCCAAACTCAACCTACCCACACCATCATGTATTTTCTAACCTATTTTTAAAACTACACAACGTTTTGCCTCAAAAACTGTATTCGGGATTTTTGTTCCACTCTCCACAACTCTATTCCCAAACCAGTGCTTTCCTTTCCCTTCTGAATCTGATTTTTCCCAAACTTGAACCATTGCTGGGTCCCGTCATGGGGGAAAATTTTCGCACGCTATTTACATCCCTTTATTTATTCCTTTTTTCTTTTACCCCTCGACAAACCTCCTTAATTTACCCCCTTTCGAGAGAGTGCAGATTCGGGCCCTCATTATTATTTTTATAATCAAGGGGGGGAAGCGCTAAACCCGGAGGATTATACAGCGCCTGGGGGGGGTGTGGAAGGCATTCAGTTAATTCGGGGAATGGAGACAGATCCAATTCCCTAAATCAAGACCCCCTCGGGCCCCTCAGTTTACCCTCACAGGGAAGATTTCTGATCAGGGGACCCTCTTTGTCACCCTCTCTGTACGTTTTCCAAGCATTTATTCCTTCTTTACGGTGCCAGAACTGAGCGCTTTGTCAAATGAGCCAAACCCAAGGGAATATAGAGTTGAAGAACAACCCGAGGACTTCTATTATTTATACTTCTGATTAAAGCCAAGAATTTCTGTTGCTTTATTGCAAAACAAATGCACTGTTGTCTTGGTTTTAGATTACTGCTAACCGAACTCCAAAAATCCTTTTGAAAATCAGTAAAATTAAGTTACTTTATTTATTTTTTGGGCAGGGTTATTGCCCGCCCAAACGTATGAAACTTTGATTTGTCAATTTAAAACTGCATCTCCCACTTCTCGCCCATTGCATCGTCTATTCGAATCATCCTGGGTGTCTGTGTCCTTGATGAATTGGCGGCCTTTTTTTGGTTTGTCATCAGAAAATTTTTGCTTATGTCGCTTTTTGTTCCCTCATCTATGTGTTTATGAAAAATTGTAAACAAAAAGGGGCCAACATGACCCGGCAAAACCCCGTTGGGGACGTGCCCCCTTTCTGATTTTCCCAATTTTTTGCAAACACTATGTCCCTATTTGTCGCCATGCCCTACCCGGAAAAAAAAAAACTCCCCCTTTTTTGTGTGCCCGAATTTTCCTCAAAGCCTCTGGTGTGGAAACTCTATCGAAAACCCTTTCTGAAGTCCATTACAAATATCATATTCTTTCCTGATTACCCCCTCAAACCCCTTAGTGAAAAAAAATAAATTCGTAAAAACAGGAAGTCCTTTGTAAAAAACCCTGTTGAGATTATTAATCATTGTACAGTTGTGGTAAGGGAGGGGATGATTTGGTGATAACAGAGGTGCGTAGTGGTGGTATACAGGGGGTAATGTGTGGGGTTTAGAGGTGCTTTTTGTATTGAGGTGGTGCTGATAGTTGATACTGAATGTTGATGTAGTGGTAGTAATGAAGGTGGTAGGTTGAGCTAGTGTTAGTGTTGATGCTAGTGGTTTGTAATGAAGGTGGTGTGTTTATGTTGTGGTGTAAGAAAGGGGGTGTGTTGATGTAGTGGTAGTAATGAAGGTGGGAGTGTTGAGTTAGTGTTAGTGTTTTGTAGTGGTAATACCGAAGGTTTGGGAGTGTTGATGCTGTGGTAAAAACGAAGGGGGGAGTGTTTTGTGTGGGGTAGTAATGAAGGTGGTAGGTTGATGTTAGTGAAATAATGAAGGGGTAGTGTTGATGTAGGGTAGTAATAAGGTGGTAGTGTTTATGTTGTGATAAAAATGAAGGTGGTAGTGTTGTGTTAGGGTTTAATGAAGGTGGGAGTGTTGATGCTGTGGTAGTAATGAAAGGGGGGTAGTGTTGATGCTAGTGGTAGTGTTTATGTTAGGGTTTAAAATGAAAGGTGGTAGTGTTGATGCTGTGGTAGTAATGAAAGTGGGAGTGTTGATGTAGTGGTAGTAATGAAAGGGTAGTGTTGTGCTAGTGGTATGTTTATGTGTGGTAGTAATGAAGGTGGTAGTGTTGTGTTAGTGGTAGAAGGAAAGTGGTAGTGGTTTTATGTAGTGGTAGTAATGAAAGTGGTGGTTGTGCTAGTGGTAGTGTTGATATAGTGGGAGTGTTTTTGCTGTGGGAGTAAAGAAAGTGGTAGTGTTGATGCTAGTGGTAATAATGAAGGTGGGGTTAGTGTTTTGTTAGTGGTTAATGAAGGTGGTAGTGTTTAGTTGTGTAATAATGAAGGTGGTAGTGTTGTGTGGGGGTAATAATGAAGGTGGTTTTGTGTTGATTTAGTGGTAATAATGAAGGTGGTGTGTTTTTTTAGTGTAATAATGAAAGGTGGTGTGTTGATGTTGTGGTAGTGTTGGTTTTGTGGTAATAAGAAGGTGGTAGTGTTTTGTTGTGGAGTAATGAAAAAGGGGTTTGTTTGATGTTAGTGGTAGTGTTTATGTTAGTGGTAAAATGAAGGGGGTAGGTTGTGTTAGGGGTGTAATGAAAGTGGTAGTGTTGATGGTGGTAGTAATGAAAGTGGTAGTGTTGATGTAGTGGTGTAATGAAAGTGGTAGTGTTGATGCTAGTGGGAGTGTTTTGTTTGTGGGAAAAATGAAGGGGGTTGGTGTTGAGTTAGTGGTATATGAAGGGGGGTGTGTTTATGTTAGTGGTAGTAATGAAAGTGGTGGGGTTGGTTGTGGTAGTAATGAAGTGGTAGTTTGATGCTGTGGTAGTAATGAAAGTGGTAGTGTTGATGCGTGTAAAATGAAGGTGGGAGTGTTTTTGTTGTGGTAAAAATTAAAGGGGGGGTGTGTTGATGTTGTGTAATAATGAAGGGGGTAGTTTGTGTTAGTGGTAGTGTTGATGTTAGTGGTAATAATGAAGGTGGTTTGTGTTATGTTTGTGGTATATGAAAAATGGTAGTTTGATGTTAGTGGGGTGTTGGTTTGTTGGGAATAATGAAAGGGGGTGTGTTGATGTTAGTGGTAGTAAAAAAAAGTGGTAGTGTTGATGCTGTGGTAGTAAGAAAGTGGTAGTGTTTTATGTAGTGGTAGTAAATTGAAAGTGGTTGTTGTGCTTTTTGTGTTGATGTTAGTGGTAATAATGAAAGGGGGTAGTGTTGTGTTAGTGGTATAATGGGGGTAGTGTTGTGTTTGGTATAAGAAAGTGGTAGTGTTGGCTAGTGGTTAGTAATGAAAGGGTAGTGTTGTGTTAGTGGGAATAATGGGAAAAGGGGGGGTTGTGCTGTGGGGAGTAATGAAAGTGGTGTGTTGATGCAGTGGTGTGTTGATGCTAGGGGGGTAGAATGAAGGTGGTAGTGTTTTATGTTGTGGTAGTAATGAATGGTAGTGTTGGTAGTGGTAGTAATGAAAGTGGTGTGTTGATGCTGTGGGTGTTATGCGTGGTAGGGTTGATGTGTGGTAGTAATGAAATGGGTTTGTGTAGTGGTGTAATTGAAAGTGGTAGTGTTGATGTAGTGGTAAAAATGAAGGGGTGGTTGAGTTGTGGTAATAAATGAAGGTGGTAGTGTTGATGTTAGTGATAATAAAGGGAAGGGGGCAGGTTGATGTTGTGGTGGTTGATGTTAGTGGTAATAATGAAAGGGGGTAGTGTTTAGTTTTGGTTAGTAATGAAAATGGTAGTGTTGATGTTAGTGTAAAGTGTGTTAGGGTAATAAGGAGGTGGGGGTTGATGTTAGTGGTTGTTTTGAAAGTGGTAGTGTTTATGCAGGGTAGTAATGAAAGTGGTAGTGTTGTGTTGTGGGTAGTAAGAAAGTGGTAGTGTTGATGCATGGTTTTTGTTGTGTTAGTGGTAATAATGAAGGTGGTAGTGTTGATGTTGTGGTATAATGAAAGGGGGTAGTGTTGTGTTAGTGGTAGTAATGAAAAGTGGTTTGTTGATGTTAGTGGTAGTATTGAAAGTGGTATGTTGAGCTAGTGGTAGTAATTTTAAAGTGGTAGTGTTGTGTTAGTGGTAGTGTTGTGTTATGGGAGTGTTGATGTTAGGGTAATAATGAAGGGGGTGTTTAGCTAGTGGTGTGTTTTGTGTGGTAATAATGAGGTGGTAGTTTGTGTTAGTGGTAATAATGAAGGTGGTAGTTGTTGATGGGTTGTGGGAATAAAGAGGTGGTAATGTTGTGTTAGTGGTAATAAAGAAGGTGGTATGTTGTGTTGTGGTAGTGTTGATGTTTGTGGTAAAAATGAAGGTAGTGTTGATGTTAGTGGTAAAATTGAAGGGGTTGTTGATGTTAGTGGTAAAAATGAAAAGGGGGTTGTGTTGAGTTGTGGGATAAAATGAAGGTGGTAATGTTTAGTTAGTGGTAATAATGAAGGGGGGGTTGTGTTAGTGGAATAATGAAGTGGGAGTGTTTTGTTTTGTGGTAAAAAAAGGTGGTAGTGTTTTGTTAGTGGTAATAATGAAAGGGGGTAGTGTTGATGTTGTGGTAATAATGAAGGTGGGGGGTGTTGATGTTAGTGGTAATAAGAAGGTGGTAGTGTTGATGCTTGTGGTTAAAGAAGGTGGTGTGTTGATTTGTTTTTAGTAATGAAGGTGGTAATGTTTATGTTAGTGGAAGTAAAAAGGTGGGTAGTGTTGATGTTAGTGGGAATAAAGAGTGTTGTGGTGGTAGTGTTACTGTAGGGTTGTGTTTTGTTAGTGGTAGTAATGAAGGTGGTAGTGTTATGTAGTGGTAGTGTTTTATGATGTTAGTAACGAAGGTGGTAGTGTTTGCTAGTGGTAGTGTTGATGTAGGGTAGTAACGAAGGGGGTAGGTTATGCTAGTGGTAGTAAGAGGTGGTAGTGTTGATGCTGTGGTTAACGAAGGTGGTGTGTTGATGCTAGTGGGAGTGTTGATGTGTATTTGTGTTTAGTAGTGGTAGTGTTTTTGTAGTGGTAGTAACGAAGGTGGGAGGTTGATGCTAGTGGGTAACGAAGGTGGTTTTGTTGATGCTAGTGGTAGTAACGAAATGGTAGTGTTAGGTTTTGGTAGTAACGAAGGTGGTAGTGTTGATGTAGTGGTGGTTGATGCTGTGGTAGTGTTGATGTAGTGGTGTAAAAAAGGTGGGGTGTTGGCTAGTGGTAGAACGAAGGGGAGTGTTGATGTAGTGGTAGTGTTGATGTAGTATTAGTTTTTTGCTAGTGGTAGTAAAAAGAAAGGTGGGAGTTTTGTAGTGGTAGTGTTGATGCTAGTGGTATAAAAGATGGTGGTAGTGTTGATGCTGGTGGTAGTAAAGAAAGGTGGTGTGTTGATGCTAGTGGTAGTGTTGATGTGGTGGTAATAACGAAGGTGGGTAGTGTTGATGCTAGTGGTAGTGTTGATGTAGTGGCGTGTTGATGCTATGGTAGTGTTTATGCTAGTGGTAGTAACGATGGTGGTGTGTTATGCTGTGGTAGTAACGAAGGTGGTGTGTTGATGTATGGTAGTAAAAGGGTGGTAGTTGTTGAGCTATTTTGGTTTGTGTTGATGCTAGTGGTTGGTTTTTGCTAGTGGGTAGAACGAAGGTGGGTGTTGAGTGGGTAGTAACGAAGGTGGTGTGTTTGTGCTAGTGGTAGGTTGTGCTAGTGGTTGTGTTTTGTAGTTTTTGTAAGAAGTGGTAGTGTTATGCTAGTGGTAGTAAACGAAAGGTGGTAGTGTTTATGCTAGTGGTAGTGTGAAAGCGGGTGTGTTTTATGTAGTGGTTGTGTTGATGTAGTGGGTAGTAACGAAGGTGGGAGTGTTTTTCTGTGGTAGTAACGAAAGGTGGTAGGTTGATGCTAGTGGTAGTGTTGATGCTAGTGGTAGTAACGAAGGTGGTAGTTTGAGTAGTGGTAGAACGAAAGGGGTGTGTTGTGCTAGTGGTAGTGTTGATGCTAGTGGTAGTGTTGATGCTAGTGGTAGTAACGAAGGGGGGTTGTTGATGTAGTGGTGAAAAGAAGGTGGTTGGGTTTATGTGTGGTAGTGTTGATGCTAGTGGTAGGTTGATGTAGTGGTAGTAAAGAAGGTGGTGTGTTTTATGTATGGTAGTAACGAAGGTGGTGTGTTGTGTAGTGGTTTTGTTTTGTGCAGGGTAGTGTTGATGGTAGTGGTAGTAAAGAAGGGGGAGTGTTGGGTAGTGGTAGTAACGAAGGTGGTTTTGTGTTGAGTAGGGGTGTGTGTGCTATTTGGGGTGTTGATGCTGTGGTAGTAACGAAGGTGGTAGTGTTGATGTGTGGTAGTTACGAAGGTGGTAGGTTTATGCTGTGGTATGTTGATGCTAGTGGTTGTTGATGTGTGGGGTTTTCGGAGGTGGTAGTGTGATGCTAGTGGTAGTAACGAAGGTGGGAGTGTTGATGCTAGTGGTATGTTGAGCTAGTGGTAGTGTTTGTAGTGGTTTGTAAGAAGGTGGGTTTTGGGGATGTATGGTAGTAAAAGAAGGTGGTATGTGAGTAGGGTAGTAAGAAGGTGGTAGTGGTACTGTGGTATATTACGTACATTGAACTATGTATGTAAAAATATATAAACACATAAAATACACAAACCCCAAATATTCATAAGTGTCTAAAGGATAACAGATGAATGTTTCAGATTCCCGCATACATACACACATGAATATATACCACAAAAATACTGAAATAAATTCCTACAATTATAAAAACACATGACAGTGCAAAGAGTAATTTCGTTCTTAAAAACGCCCACAAACAAACACATACATAGTAAGAAAAATGAATTGCATAAATAATTTTGTTATGTATGCATATTTATGAATTGTAAAATGTACAAAAAATGTATACATATACACATTCTATATATGAAAAATACTTTTCATATACATTTGAATTTAAAAACATCTGCCCAAGTATACATAAAAATTTAATACTAAATCCTATGTACTCAAAAAATAAATCCCACTGAACTCTATCTACAGAAGTTCCTATGTCATACTTTTGTATAAATCCGTTGTACAAACACACTATACATAGATTTACTTTATTTGAAATGGAAAGTTTTGATCACCATCCAATATTTCCCCTTGGGGAGCACTGAGGTAGAGGGGCGGGTGAGGAACACGGGGTCCTTTTCGGATTCAAGCGACCGAATTTACTTAGTTTTTTTTAAAAATGGGGGCGATAAACCCCTAGGATTCACAGCTTGCCCGGGAAAATGGGCGGCAATCAGGTTCGGTCCCGGGAAAAAAAAATCACAGTTCCGTTCCTCAGTCAAGAGACCTTTACTGGCTTAATCAACCTTATTTCAACGTTTTGTCTAGTGACTAATAGTAGGTGAACCAGCGTCTAAAATACGCTATTTTTTCTAGCGACCCCAACACCCAAAGACCCCTAGTTTAGTGACCACACGCTTCGTTACCACTAGTAAAAGGTCCCGTTGCACCGTGTTAGTGGGGCTATAGCATTAGGAACTGTATGTTGTAACCACTAAGTCCAAGAAACACTAGGTTTAGGTTTTCATTCAATGTGATGACCGGTTTATAGGTACCCTTTGCTATAATTACCCCTAGCAACCATTAGCATATTAAAACCTTACATAAAATTTACCACTGCGTCTAATGACCGAATAACCTCACATCTGGGACCCCCAGTTCTACGATCTTATGGGCCCAGTGATTTAAGTCTATAGCCGACTACTGGATACTTGAAAATTAACTATTCTACAATTTCTTCCTACCAAGCACTCTGAGTTTAAGATTGACTTACTTAGGCTGCTGCTCTGTGCCTTGCTGTAGTAAACTTCCCATTGTGAACCAAAGAGAATTGAAGAGGTTAAACTGGTTTTCTTTGGTTTTCTTCTTATCTTGTTTACGTGGATAGGATGTGACCCATTCATAAGGACTTAATCTGTGAAGGAAGGACAAGTAATTGAATAAAATAATAATAGAGAGACAGAAGAAGGGAATATGTTTAAAATATTTTGTTAATAAGATGACATGACAACACATTCTGTGTGCCTCATTTAAATTAAATTTACATGGAAATTGGCTATTATGCATGCTGACACTGTGATGAGAAGACCAGGAGCTGATGCAAATGTCACAAGCCACAACCTGACAACCTGCTGACACTGTACATTGTTCCTGACAACCTGCTGACATGGCACTAGGTTTCAGACAACCTGCTGACATGGTACAATATTCCAGACAACCTACTGACAAGGTACAGTGTTCCAGACAACCTACTGACACGGAACCATGTTCCAGGCAACTTGTTGACACGGTACCATGTTCCAGACAACATGCTGACACGGTACAGTGTTCCAGACAACCTGCTGACACGGTACCATGTTCCAGACAACTTGCTGACACGGTACAGTGTTCCAGACAACCTGCTGACACGGTACCATGTTCCAGACAACCTGCTGACACAGTACCATGTTTCAGACAACCTGCTCTCACGGTACAGTGTTCCAGACAATCTGCTGACATGGTACGGTGTTCCAGACAACTTGCTGACACGGTACTATGTTCCAGAAAACCTGCTGACACGGTAACGTGTTTCAGACAACCTGCTGACACGGTACCATGCTCTAGACACCCTACTGACACGGTACAGTGTTCCAGACACTGTGTTGTGCCTTCAGGCAATACATACACACACACACACACACACACACACACACACACACACACACACACACACACACACACACACACACACACACACAAACACATGGAGCTATGAATCGACCCCTGCAAGCACAAATAGGCGAGTACACACTTTCACATATATTAAGTTCTTATATTATCAAATATTTTTGTTTATGTTATTGCTGTTAGAAAATAAACCGAAGATATTAGTCATATGTGTTTAGCGATATTTATAGTCAAGATGAATTACCCACAACACTTTGTTTTGGCAGATGTGAGAGTTTTGATTGGTTGTCCTGCACTGCTACGTACTTGTTCGTGCGTGGTTGTCCAGCACTGCTACGTACTTGTTGGTGTGTGGTTGTCCAGCACTGCTACGTCCTTGTTCGTGCGTGGTTGTCCAGCACTGCTACGTACTTGTTGGTGTGTGTGGTTGTCCAGCACTGCTACGTACTTGTTGGTGTGTGGTTGTCCAGCACTGCTACGTCCTTGTTCGTGCGTGGTTGTCCAGCACTGCTACGTACTTGTTGGTGTGTGGTTGTCCAGCACTGCTACGTACTTGTTGGTGTGTGGTTGTCCAGCACTGCTACGTCCTTGTTCGTGCGTGGTTGTCCAGCACTGCTACGTACTTGTTGGTGTGTGGTTGTCCAGCACTGCTACGTACTTGTTGGTGTGTGGTTGTCCAGCACTGCTACGTACTTGTTGGTGTGTGGTTGTCCAGCACTGCTACGTACTTGTTGGTGTGTGGTTGTCCAGCACTGCTACGTACTTGTTGGTGTGTGGTTGTCCAGCACTGCTACGTCCTTGTTGGTGTGTGGTTGTCCAGCACTGCTACGTCCTTGTTCGTGCGTGGTTGTCCAGCACTGCTACGTACTTGTTCGTGCGTGGTTGTCCAGCACTGCTACGTACTTGTTGGTGTGTGGTTGTCCAGCACTGCTACGTACTTGTTGGTGTGTGGTTGTCCAGCACTGCTACGTACTTGTTCGTGCGTGGTTGTCCAGCACTGCTACGTACTTGTTGGTGTGTGGTTGTCCAGCACTGCTACGTACTTGTTGGTGTGTGGTTGTCCAGCACTGCTACGTACTTGTTCGTGCGTGGTTGTCCAGCACTGCTACGTACTTGTTGGTGTGTGGTTGTCCAGCACTGCTACGTACTTGTTGGTGTGTGGTTGTCCAGCACTGCTACGTCCTTGTTCGTGCGTGGTTGTCCAGCACTGCTACGTCCTTGTTCGTGCGTGGTTGTCCAGCACTGCTACGTACTTGTTGGTATGTGGTTGTCCAGCACTGCTACGTACTTGTTGGTGTGTGGTTGTCCAGCACTGCTACGTACTTGTTGGTGTGTGGTTGTCCAGCACTGCTTCGTACTTGTTGGTGTGTGGTTGTCCAGCACTGCTACGTACTTGTTGGTGTGTGGTTGTCCAGCACTGCTACGTACTTGTTGGTGTGTGGTTGTCCAGCACTGCTACGTACTTGTTGGTGTGTGGTTGTCCAGCACTGCTACGTACTTGTTGGTGTGTGGTTGTCCAGCACTGCTACGTACTTGTTGGTGTGTGGTTGTCCAGCACTGCTACGTACTTGTTGGTGTGTGGTTGTCCAGCACTGCTACGTACTTGTTGGTGTGTGGTTGTCCAGCACTGCTACGTACTTATTGGTGTGTGGTTGTCCAGCACTGCTACGTACTTGTTGGTGTGTGGTTGTCCAGCACTGCTACGTACTTGTTGGTGTGTGGTTGTCCAGCACTGCTACGTACTTGTTCGTGCGTGGTTGTCCAGCACTGCTACGTACTTGTTGGTGTTAAATTAGACACATGTGCAACTCTTGGGTATCTTTATTGAGGAAACGATGTGGTCAGCCCATCAATCTATTCAAGATTGATGGACTGACCACATCGACTCAAGGCTGAGGGACTGATTACCTCATTCTCCTCCTGTTCTTCAAGTTTATCCTTTGTATGGACTGATGAAGTCACTGTGTGGCGAAACGTTTCCTCAATAAAGATACCCAAGAGTTGCACATGTGTCTAATTCAACAACATGTCGGTTCTTTGAACCATTCACCTACAGTACTTGTTGGTGTGTGGCAAGGTGCCAGTGAAGCTGACGTCATGCCTCCAGTACCTGCTTCGTTCTCTGTCTGCCTGGATGTCACTGTGGAACGACCTCTATTCTTCTCTCAGTCTGCTAGAACTCTGTTCTGCTCTGCTCTTGTTTCATAGACTCAGTTTTGTGGTACAGTATTATTTCCTTGCTTATTTGTAGGTGCCCCGTGGCCTGGTAGCTAAAGCTCTCGTTTCACACGGTGAGGGTCGGGTTCGATTCCCGGCGAGGGTAGAAATATTGGGCGTTTTTCTTTACACCAGTTGTCTATGTTCCCCATCAGTAAAATGGGTACTTGGCTGTTAGTGGACTGGTGTGGGTCGCATCCTGGGACAAAACTGACCTAATTTGCCCGACATGCACTGCAAAATAAGAGGCTTTCTATATAGTACTATGTCATTTATGTCAGCTAGGCCTGTACACCTTGTACATGTACTTATTATTATTATTATTATTATTATTATTATTATTATTATTATTTAGTCCTTGTCGATTTTGTCATTGTGTGGATGTGCATCGTGAGACAGTCAGGGTGATTCAGGTCCCAAGTCCAATTTATTTTTTCTGACTGGCATCTTCACACTGTCTGGATTTTGAAGCTGCTTATTTCAGATTCATCAATCTGTGAACTTTTACCTGTAATGGAGAATATGTTGATTGTCCCAAATTATGTCGTTTATTTCTCTCACTTCCTTGCCTGACACAATGCTGCGTGTTGCTGCGTATCGCTGTAATATTCATACAAGCTGTGTTTATAACCACAATGTTTGTAATAAGTTAATTTATTGACGGACTTGTTGGATTTTGAGGGTCACTTCCCATGGTGAGTCAATCACACTCTACACACACTGAATATTTATACTAGTACTCTCGGAGTACGATTTAGTACAGGAGCGTACCAGTTGGTACAGTTTATTACAGCAGACGTAATAGTGTAGATGTAATGCAGTGTGTTAAGGTCACTGTTTAAGTTAACGTACTGATATGTTTCTCATTTTTTGTACAGTCTTAAATCGATGTGTACAATCCATCAGTCATCATGGTCTTCTGATGGAGAGGCCCAGGATAGACCGAGAGGCTGGAAACTGATAGACAAGGACTCATTTGAAAGGTAAATGCACATATTACAGAAATATTAGGTATATTTCCTCAACTTCTGCGTATTCAGCGAGCGCAATAACCTGGAAGAAGTGGGAGACGCTGACTTGAAACATAGCTTACAGAATAAGGAATACAGGGATTATGATCGTGGGAAGAAGTGAACCCTGGGGAAGCCAGGAGCTACCTGGAGTTTACCTGGAGAGGGTTTCGGGGGTCAGCGCCCCCGCGGCTCGGTCTGAGACCAGGCCTCATAGTGGATCAGGGTCTGATCAACCATGCTGTTACTGCCGGTCGCACGCAAACTGACGTACGAACCACAGCCCGGTTGGTCAGGTACTGACTTTAGGTGTCTGTCCAGTGCCTTCTTGAAGACAGCCAGGGGTCTATTGGTAATCCCCCTTATGTATGCTGGGAGGCAACTGAACAGTCTTGGGCCCCGGACACTTATTGTGTTGTCTTTCAATGTACTCGTGGCGCCCCTGCTTTTCATCGGGGGAATGTTGCATCTCCTGCCGAGTCTTTTGCGTTCATAAGGAGTGATTTTCGTGTGTAGGTTTGGCACCAATCCCTCCAGGACCTTCCAAGTGTATATTATCCTGTATCTCTCTCGCCTCAGTTTCATTCCTTGTAAACACATGCATAATACACAATAAATATCACAAACACATGCTCACAGTAAATTTACACACACACACAACATTTTCCTCCAGGACTCATAGGTACATAGAGCTCTTTTTATAAGTTTTCTGACCTTGCTATAACAAAGAGGAGGAGAGAGATGCCAAGGTAAGCAGTAGTTGTACAACCCACGTCCAGCGACAGCGGTGACAGAAGCTAACACATGGGGGGTTTCTTAGTGGCTTCTGGTAGGTATCGTATGCCTGTAATGAGGAAACAGTTTATAACGGTAGTTAATGATGAAAAATCTGATGGGACCACACCACAGTTTCAGATTTGAGTTCTTTAAAAGCTATTTAAAACCACATATGATAGTTTGATTACGAACTGGGATGTAATTGTTAGAGACTGGGCAAATTCTTGGACTCTTATACGAGAAATATTTTGCTAATCAACCCTGGCTTCTTCAGTCAAAAACGAAGATGGTGGAAGATGTGAGCAGTTTTTGAGGTAATCAGTCCCTTAACCTTGAGTTGCCATGTGTTCACTCCGTCAGACTGATGTAAGTAACACATCGTTTCAGAACTAAGGACTGATTACATCAAAATCCTTATCTTCTCCCATTCTTCTCTGTTGCTGGACTGAGAAGTCACTGGTTGGCGAAAGTGTCTCAGTTACCAAAAAGGTGGTTCTTAAACATTAAACAGCATCAGCTTCGTTCTTCAAGAAGAAAGTGTGGTGATAATGCTAAATATTAAGGAGTAACACAGCGCCTGGGGAAGGGAGTCATGAGCTCAGTCCAAACAATGAGAAATCAGGCTCTAATTTCTTAAATGAGAGCTCGTCCCTGCACATGGAAATTCCCTGTTGAGAGTTAGCCTTTTATATTGTTACAGCTATAATTATCTACGTAATGACATCTGGTTACGCGCTTACGCTAATTCAGCCGATGAGACGGCTGCTGCTACGTCTCACGGGGACATTAAACTTCTGTGGGAATCCTGCAATGACTTTAAATTATGGTAATGTCCTCGAGGATTTTTACCCGTATTGCGATTTTTTATTGACTAAGTAAACTGGTTTCGAGAAATCGCCTTGAAGAGGCCGTTTATGGCTTTCGGATTTTAGAATAAAAAATCCTTCGTTAACAATTACAAAAACATTAGTGAGTAGATTCTTACTCCAATTTTTCTATTCTGAAGTTCATGCCCTGAAACATAGCTGGGTACATACATTCTCTTCTGAAGTTCATGCCCTGAAACATAGCTGGGTACATACATTCTCTTCTGAAGTTCATGCCCTGAAACATAGCTGGGTACATACATTCTCTTCTGAAGTTCATGCCCTGAAACATAGCTGGGTACATCATTCTCTTCTGAAGTTCATGCCCTGAAACATAGCTGGGTACATACATCTCTTCTGAAGTTCATGCCCTGAAACATAGCTGGGTACATACATTCTCTTCTGAAGTTCATGCCTGAAACATAGCTGGGTACTACATTCTCTTCTGAAGTTCATGCCCTGAAACATAGCTGGGTACATACATTCTCTTCTGAAGTTCATGCCCTGAAACATAGCTGGGTACATACATTCTTTTCTGAAGTTCATGCCCTGAAACATAGCTGGGTACATACATTCTCTTCTGAAGTTCATGCCCTGAAACATAGCTGGGTACATACATTCTCTTCTGAAGTTCATGCCCTGAAACATAGCTGGGTACATACATTCTCTTCCGAGTTCATGCCCTGAACATAGCTGGGTACATACATTCTCTTCTGAAGTTCATGCCCTGAAACATAGCTGGGTACATACATTCTCTTCTGAAGTTCATGCCCTGAACATAGCTGGGTACATACATTCTTTTCTGAAGTTCATGCCCTGAACATAGCTGGGTACATACATTCCTCTTCTGAAGTTCATGCCCTGAAACATAGCTGGGTACATACTTCTCTTCTGAAGTTCATGCCCTGAAACATAGCTGGGTACATCATTCTCTTCTGAAGTTCATGCCCTGAAACATAGCTGGGTACATACATTCTCTTCTGAGTTCATGCCCGAAACATAGCTGGGTACAACATCTCTTCTGAAGTTCATGCCCTGAAACATAGCTGGGTACATACATTCCTCTTCTGAAGTTCATGCCCTGAATAATAGCTGGTACATACATTCTCTCTGAAGTTCATGCCCTGAAAATAGCTGGGACATACATTCTCTCTGAAGTTCATGCCTGAACATAGCTGTCCTCACCCCCCATTCTCTTCTGAAGTTCTGCCTGAAACATAGTGGGACATACATTCTTTCTGAGTTCATGCCCTGAACTAGCTGGGTACTACATTCTTCTGAGTTCATGCCCTGAACATAGCTGGGTTACATACATTCTTTTCTGAAGTTCATGCCCTGAAACATAGCTGGGTACATACATTCTCTTCTGAAGTTCATGCCCTGAAACATAGCTGGGTACATACATTCTCTTCTGAAGTTCATGCCCTGAAACATAGCTGGGTACATACATTCTCTTCTGAAGTTCATGCCCTGAAACATAGCTGGGTACACACACTCTTCTGAAGTTTATGTCCGGCAACATAGCTGGGTACTACCACTCTTCTGAGTTTTGTCCGGCAATATGCTGGGTACATACACTCTTCTGAATTTATATCCGGCAACATAGCTGGGTACATACACACTTTCTGAGTTTATGTCCGGCAACATAGCTGGGTACATACACACTCTTCTGAAGTTTATGTCCGGCAACATAGCTGGGTACATACACACTCTTCTGAAGTTTATGTCCGGCAACATAGCTGGGTACATACACACTCTTCTGAAGTTTATGTCCGGCAACATAGCTGGGTACATACACACTCTTCTGAAGTTTATGTCCGGCAACATAGCTGGGTACATACACTCTCTGAAGTTTATGTCCGGCAACTAGCTGGGTACACACACTCTTCTGAAGTTTATGTCCGCAACATAGCTGGGTACATCACACTCTTCTGAAGTTTATGTCGGCAACATAGCTGGGTACATAACACCCTTCTGAAGTTTATGTCCGGCAACAAGCTGGGTACACACACTCTTCTGAAGTTTAGTCCGGCACATAGCTGGGTACATACACACTCTTCTGAATTTTAAAGTCCGGCAACATAGCTGGGTACATTACACTTCTGAAGTTTATGTCCGGCAACATAGCTGGGTACACACACTCTTCTGAAGTTTATGTCCGGCAACATAGCTGGGTACATACACACTCTTCTGAATTTATGTCGGCAACATAGTGGGTACATACACACTCTTCTGAAGTTTATGTCCGGCAACATAGCTGGGTACATACACACTCTTCTGAAGTTTATGTCCGGCAACATAGCTGGGTACATACACTCTTCTGAAGTTTATGTCCGGCAACATAGCTGGGTACACACACTCTTCTGAAGTTTATGTCCGGCAACATAGCTGGGTACATACACACTCTTCTGAAGTTTATGTCCGGCAACATAGCTGGGTACATACACACTCTTCTGAAGTTTATGTCCGGCAACATAGCTGGGTACATACACACTCTTCTGAAGTTTATGTCCGGCAACATAGCTGGGTACACACACTCTTCTGAAGTTTATGTCCGGCAACATAGCTGGGTACATACACACTCTTCTGAAGTTTATGTCCGGCAACATAGCTGGGTACATACCTCTTCTGAGTTTATGTCCGGCAACATAGCTGGGTACATACACACTCTTCTGAAGTATATGTCCGCAACATAGCTGGGTACATACACTCTTCTGAAGTTATGTCCGGCAACATAGCGGGTACACACCTCTTCTGAAGTTTATGTCCGGCAACATAGCTGGGTACATACACTCTTCTGAAGTTTATGTCCGGCAACATAGCTGGGTACATACACTCTTCTGAAGTTTATGTCCGGCAACATAGCTGGGTAATACACTCTTCTGAATTTTTATGTCCGGCAACATAGCTGGGGTAAATACACTCTTCTGAGTTTATGTCCGGCAACATAGACTGCGGTACATACACACTCTTCTGAAGTTTATGTCCGGCAACATGCTGGGTAACACACTCTTCTGAAGTTTATGGCCGGCAACATAGCTGGGTACACACACTCTTCTGAAGTTTATGTCCGGCAACATAGCTGGGTACACACACTCTTCTGAAGTTTATGTCCGGCAACATAGCTGGGTACACACACTCTTCTGAAGTTATGTCCGGCAACATAGCTGGGTACATACACTCTTCTGAGTTTATGTCCGGCAACATAGCTGGGTACATACACACTCTTCTGAGTTTATGTCCGGCAACATAGCTGGGTACATACACTCTTCTGAAGTTTATGTCCGGCAACATAGCTGGGTACATACCCTATCTGAAGTTTATGTCCGGAACATAGCTGGGTACCACACTCTTCTGAAGTTTATGCCCGGGGAAACATAGCTGGGTACATACACACTCTTCTGAAGTTATGTCCGGCTCAACATAGCTGGGTATCACACACTCTTCTGAAGTTTAGTCCGGCAACATAGCTGGACAACACACTCTTCTGAAGTTTATGTCCGGCAACATAGCTGGGTACATACACACTCTTCTGAAGTTTATGTCCGGCAACATAGCTGGGTACATACACACTCTTCTGAAGTTTATGTCCGGCTAACTAGCTGGTAATACACTCTTCTGAAGTTTATGTCCGGCAACAAGCTGGGTACCACACCTCTTCTGAGTTATGTCCGGCAAATAGCTGGTACATACACCATGTCTCCCTTGTTCGAGTTCTTTCGTTTAAACACGCACATTTATTTGTTTTATTCAATAGCGATATTATTTTCAATATGCAATTAATTTTAAATTATCATTGAAAAATTACCACCAAACTACACATTTGTTTATTGTTTTTAAATCAAGCAATGTTTTCAAACTTTTTTTTTTTTTTTTTTATTATCACACCGGCCGATTCCCACCAAGGCAGGGTGGCCCGAAAAAGAAAAACTTTCACCATCATTCACTCCATCACTGTCTTGCCAGAAGGGTGCTTTACACTACAGTTTTTAAACTGCAACATTAACACCCCTCCTTCAGAGTGCAGGCACTGTACTTCCCATCTCCAGGACTCAAGTCCGGCCTGCCGGTTTCCCTGAACCCCTTCATAAATGTTACTTTGGCTCACACTCCAACAGCACGTCAAGTATTAAAAACCTTTTTGTCTCCATTTCACTCCTATCAACACGCTCAACGCATG